GGGGCCGCGTAAGGGCCTGGGCGGGGCCGCGACAAAGCCGTCGGCGGGGCCGCGGTGAAAGCCGGGGGCGGGGCCGCGTAGAAGCCGGGGCGGGGGCCGCGCGAGAGCAGGCGGCGGGGCCGCGAAGGAGCCGGGGCGGGGCCGCGTGAGAGCAGGCGGCGGGGCCGCGTAAGGGCCTGGGCGGGGCCGCGACAAAGCCGTCGGCAGGGCCGCGTGAAAGCCGGGGCGGGGCCGCGTAGAAGCCGGGGCAGGGCCGCGCGAGAGCAGGCGGCGGGGCCGCGAAGGAGCCGGGGCGGGGCCGCGTGAGAGCAGGCGGCGGGGCCCTGCGTAAAGGCCGGGGCGGGGCCGCGACAGAGCCTGCTGCGGGGCCGCGTGAGAGCCGGCGACGGGGCCGCGTAAGGGCCGGCGGCGGGGTCCCGTCAGAGAGGGCGGCGGGGCCGCGTCAGTGAAGGCGGCGGGGCCGCAGGGGAAATGGCGACCCGAGGGGGTCGCTAAAAAAAAGATCGCGCCTCGGGGGGCGCTTCGGTGGGCCCAAAAAAAAAACGGTCCGTAGAAGGACCCGCTCTATACCATGTGAGAATAAGCGAACAGGAATGAATGAACTAGCAGTGAAATGAGTACAAGTAGGAAACCCTAGAATTGTGTACCCCCTATAGGCTAACCCACTGTAGCCTACACAAGCAGAACATATATAATGTTTGACACGAACTTCTTTCCTCTGAAAAACGCCATCACACCGTTCAAGCCACAGTTGGTTGCAGTGTAATAGACGTTAATGTCAGCTCCGAAAAAGCCGAGCCGGTGCCCATATCTCGGAACAGTAGGTCCCTCAACGAGTCCGTCACGCGGCCAGGGTTGAGCATGCTCAGAGCGCGCCGAAGAGCAGTGGACACCACTTGAATTTTGGGGTAGAGCATCAAGCAGTGTTACAGCGTCTCCGTGTCTCCGCAGTACGGGCAGACCAGCTTGCTGCTGAGAAAAGCCAGGCGCTCCCCTACTTGGAGGTTCACTTTTAAGTTTTAAGTTTTATTGAATGGTCGTAACCATACATACAGTGTTGGAACAGTGAACGGGCTTTATCCCGATACCTAAGAGGTATGCGCCTACGACGCTTGACTGTTTTGCCTATGCAAACAGGGGAGTGTAAATCTCCGCCAGTCCAACACTATTCGAGTGAGGGGTTCAGACTTTACGGGGATGGAAATTTTTCCCTTCTCAACCAGGTACGTCTCAGGTCAGGGTGAATGTCAGGGGCGTCCTCAGAGTTGAAATGCAGTAGTTGTTTCGTCGTCCCATATTTGACTCGTGAGGCCGTGCCGCGTTGTTTCTTGGCCGCCTGCTTGCTTCTCTTGGCGAAGAAGATTTTGCAGGCCATGAGGAAGGTGGCGAGCACCCTATGTAGGGCTGATATCTCAGATGAGTGTGCGTTGTCATAGATTTCTGAACACCTCTCGTTCCATAGAGTTTTAGCAACAGCTCCCACTAGTAGGCTCCATGGGGCACAGCTCCCGGCCGATGAGTTGAGAGGAAATAGTGACAACTTCTGCTGAGATTGAGACACCAAGATGGTCTTTCGCAGCACGTTGAAGTGCCGTTGTGATGGTAGGAGCGTTTCCACATTCTGTGAAGATATGGGTGAGGGTCTCGACGCAGTCGTTGGAGCAGCACGGGCAGATGTTTCCAGAGGCCGAGAAGCGAAATCACGCACCACACGAGAGAGACAGCGTGTGTAGTTGAAGTAGCACGTCTCTTGTCGACTGGGCTGTGTGAAGAAATGAGGAATGAATGAACTAGCAAGCAGGTGGGTACAAGTAGGAAAACCTAAAAGTGTTGTACCCCATATTGTCTACCCACTACCAGCCTACACAGACTATAGCATATGAGTTTGACAGGCTGTTCCTGTAAAAATGGTTGCTTCAAGGAGGGTAGTGGCGGTGAGCGGATGAGGGAAGAATCTCGTTCCATCTGTCGAGGTGGTTCAGCGGTAGAGCCGAGTAGCTTAGGCGTCTGAGGCTGGCTAGCGAGGTGGCATGTTGGAGAAAGTCGAGTCTGCTGCCTAGACCGGCATCGGAGCAGAAAGTCCCAGCATATCAGCCGTTTGTTACGTATACGGGGATGATTTTCGTTAACGTGACATATACAGCTTCCAGAGGAGGTGGCGGCTACTCGGCGGCATTCGTCGACCTCGAAGCTGCGGAGACGAGCCGTGCCGTTGGAGAGTAGTTCCCGGAACTGTAACACCCGTCGCTCTGTCCCTGCTATCTGTCTCGCCCGTATAACCCAGTCGTCCACTGTTAGGTAGGATGAGGATGGAATAAAGGAGCAGAGTACTGTCCACCATTTCGTCGGGTATGGCTTTGTATATGCTTTAAGGAGAGTGCGCCCCCCCGGAAAGTTCGTGGTGGGGTATTTGGAGAGAATCTCGTCTTCGGAGAGCTCGCGAGCACCAGTTGGTGTGCGGTGAAGGATGTTGCCCACTCGAACTTCTTGTGTTAGTAAGAACTTGTCTCCTTTAGTGCGTCCGAAGGAAAGGCCATCTTTCCTTTAATGAGTCTGTTGAAGGCGCCATCAGTACCTATGGTTCAAGTCGGGGAGGGTGGATAGCACAGGGTAGTTCAAGGACTGCTTTAGCTCCGCGACGGCCCGCGCTTGGCAGATGTTCAGGTAGGAATTTCAGGATGTCTTTCTGCGCGAGGAAGCAATGGAGGCCAAAGGGGAGCGGTCAGCATGATCGTGCAATATCTTCCAGGGGGGTGGGGCCAAAGCGACTGGCAGCTCGTTGGGACCTGCAGGGCCTGTAAGTAGGGGGAGGGTTTTATAGCGCCGACGCCTCCATCCCGCCTTGTATTAAATAATATGCGGTCGGGATGAATCTCATAGCCATGCCTTCCTCTTTGTATTTGGATGCTTTATCAGGAGGAGGTTGAAAGCGTCCGCCTACCGAAGAGGGACACGAGCCGTTCGGAGGAAAGGGCAGAACGACATGTAGATATGGCGTGTATCTTTGCTAGACAGGAAGCAGTACCTTTGACCTTGGTGAGAGCTATATCCCATGTGGCAGCTCCAGGGTTATCGTTTTGGATGTATATACCCAGGATCCTTTCTGCCTCGTTATGTTGGCGAACAGGGATGGGGCAGTCAGGCGGTAATGTGGTTTGCCGAGATATTTATAAGATGAATGGAGCATTTGGCCCATTAGCATGCTCGCCGGGCACTTCTGCGAAGGCGTGTAAGTGATGCATGGCTGACTGCGGTTCTTCTCCATAATTGAGGAATAGGGACATATCGTCAGCGTAGCATGCTGCCAACCGCGGTGCCTAGGCTTGGGCGAAGGTGAGCTGGGGAGGTAGACAGAGAGGTGTCGGTGTAGCACTTCAATGACACAGATGAAGAGGAGGGGAGCCAAGGGGCAGCCTTGACGTACACCCAGAGAGAACTGGGAGTGGGCGCCCGGTCCAGGTTGTTTACTAAGATCTGGGTATGTGCGTCATTGTGCAGGAGCTTTCGCCCAAGCGATGAATGGTTGTGGAATGCCGAGATGGGCGTATACATGTGTATATGAATTCGCGATCAACCATGTCAAAGGCCTTTTTGATGTCCACGGTAAGCATGAGCAGTGGTAGGTTTTTAGCTTCGGCCCATTCCATAAGGTCAAGCGAGTCGTTGATGGTGTCGCCGATGCGACGTCCCTTAATGAAGGCAACCTCCGCAGGATGAATGATACGTCTAAGGGTAAGTTGGAGTCGTTTTGCCAAGCAAATCGCGAGGATCTTGTAATCAGACGTCATGAGTGTGATTGGGCGGAGGTTCTCAACAAAAGTCGCGTCCGCTTTTTTAGAAATGAGGACAGTGCATCCCATCAGCATTGATTTACGGTAGGCATAGATTGATTGGCTTCTATTGAAGAGAATAAGGAATGGAGGGGCAGGAACGAGGGTGGAGCTGTGTGTGCGGTAAAAATCCCAGCTAGACCGTCGTGTCCCGGCGTTTTTCCTTTGGAGAGGGTTGACATTGCTGTCTTGACTTCAGAGAGGGAGATGGGTGCTGCAATTCTGGTGCACATGCGGGGTGGCAGCGAAGAGGGGTAAATGTGATCCCAAAAGGAACTCTTAGTAGTGTTACATGTGCCTCCCTTGTAGAGGTTCTCGTTGAAGGTGGAACAGAGGTCTGACATGGCGCGCAGGTCAGACGTATGTTGTCCTGATGGAAGCGTGAGGCGAGTGATTAGGGCAGCTTTGTTCCTAGAGGTGAGTCCGACTAGGAAGGAGGGCAATCCCATATCCTTTGCTCCTTCTTCCTTGAGTTTTGCCTTCATGGCGATATCTGCAGCCTTACATGCAATGTATTACTCGGAGGTTCAGATCGTGGATTCGGACGAGTACGTCACGTGGACGGCTGGGAACTGTCAGAGAGTCACGCGTGTTCCCCGCCTTTCTCCAATCAATATGACCACTCCATCTTGCCGCCCATTTTGCACGCTTGTATGACTCCGTTTGCGTGCCCTTCCACCCCTCTCTCATCCGCATCATGGGGATAATCCGCCCTTCCTCCAAAATCAGCAGTTGCGGGGGGGAGTCAGCCGAGCTGGGGAGAACCGTCGGAAAACCCAGCAGTCTGTTCCAGAGGGCAGGAAGAGCACCAACTGCCTTCAACGCAAGCTTAGCAGCCCCGCTGCTTCCTAGCTGCTCTGCCAGGCCCGCCATGGCTTTCTGAGAGAGATTACCGGCATCATCCTGGTTACATCTTTATTGAACGTAGATGAATAAAACGTAGGGTATGTGCTCATAGAAAACAGAAATCAGGTTTATGATTTTCCACATGCTTTGTATATTCACCAAGGATATACATGCTGTGTGTGAGTTGTCCTCAGTTGACTAGAATGAAGAAACATCGAACAAAATTACAAGCTGCCCAATAGCGGCATTCACAATCAAATATTTTTTTTTCTTTGCTCCATTGCCGTTGCATTGTGTTAGCGTATAAAGTGCGACACTTTCAGATTATGCTTGCTTCTTCTGGAAGAGGTAGTGGGAAACGATCCACTCTTGTCCCTTGGAGTAGCCGAAGAGCTCAGCCACGGCAATGAAGAATGTGCGCCAGTACACCGTCCACTTGGTCGCCGCTTCCTTGCCGTACGTCTCCGCTAGGATCGGCCGGAGCTTCACAATGTTGGCGTCAAAGTTGCGTAACCACGCCTCACTGTGCAACAAACACGAGTAAAGGCGAAAAGGAAAGGGCTTTTTACTATGTTTCAAGAAACTTTTAGTGTGTAATGGTGGTGTGGGAATGGGGCAGGAGAGAATACATGCAAACATGTGCATCCACTGTTTGACAAACACATCCCTGCAGATTCCTGCAACCCAGTAATCGGACCCACATGCATGCATGCACCATACCCACTGACCTTTGCAAGGGATCTTCACACCTCGCATTTTTCTCTTTGGTAGTGAGTCTAGTTCAGAAGCCCAGAGTAGAGCACACCCCTTCAACCCATTTACACAATTATCCACATGCACACAGAACTACCCACATGCACACACAGAACCTCACGCCCTCACACCCATCTGGTCCGTTCGTAGTGAGTCCCATTGAGGCACCAGTGGTTGGCAATGCTTAGGTCGTCCTGGAAGTAGAGCAGCAGCTTGTCACTCGCACCAATGCACACACAGAGAACCATGCAGAACCACACAACAAACGCATACCTAGTCCGCTGGTAATGAGTGCCGTTCAGGCACCAGTGGTTGGCGATGCTCAGGTCGTCCTGGAAGTAGAGCAGCAGCTTGTCGGCCGGCATCGTGCCCCCCGTGAAGAAGTAGCGAGTCATCCAGTCGTCAGGCCCCGCATCCTGAAGAAAGAAAAAATCAATGATAAATAAATACCATTAAAAAGGCATTGTGCCAGCGCCATGCCATTGCTGGTCCCCCAACCTGAAAAATAAAAACAGGCAACGTGTTCTGTGAAAGTTCTTGTGATCTGTTCTGGTTGCATAGTCACCTACACGCATGTTCTTGGTGCTTATACCTCAAAGTGGTATGCAAAGTCCTTGTGTGTGAAGATGTGAATGAAGAGCAGCGCCTCTGGCTTCATCCAGGAAGCCACCTTCTTCAGCAGCAGCTGGTAGTTCTTCATGTGCTGTGGGGAACGAAAAGGGAGAGATATAGAGGGGGGGACGTTACGTTACTGGAACAATACAACTGGCTGTTCGTCAGACACATAATGAAGCTTGCTGCGGAAGCCACCTTCTTCAGCAGGAGCTGGTAGTTCTTCATGTGCTGTATGTGGGGGAGGAGCGGGAGGAGAGGGCACGTAGTGTCAATGGATCAATGCATAAGATAGTTTGATAAGCAAGGGGAGGAGAGGGGCAGGATGAGGACTATTGAAGCCACCTTCTTCAGCAGCAGCTGGTAGTTCTTCATGTGCTGTAAGTGAGGAAGGGGGAGGGAGGGTATAAGAGACATGCCGATGAGTAAAACCAAAGGCTTGTGATAGACAGAATGAGGTATACTGAAGCCACCTTCTTCAGCAGCAGCTGGTAGTTCTTCATGTGCTGTGGGGGAGAGAGGGGGATAAGAGAGAGAGTGTGAGTGAGGGTGAAAGAGATGATGGGGTTAACTGAAGCTACTATCCATGAAGCCACCATCTCCAGCAGCAGCTGGTGATTCTTCATGTGCTGAAAAAGAGGGAGGGAGAGGGCGGGAGATAGGAAAGAGAGTAGGGCGAGAGGAAGAGACACAATGAGGTGAATTGAGTGAGAATCGAGGCCAAGTCAAGCAGCAGCATCTGGACACCGCATCAACACAGAGGACCGTCCTTGAGACATGATGAGAAGGAAGGAAGGAAGGAAGGAAGGAGGAAGGGGCCATGGTAGCCCACACGTGCTGTGCGGGATGTTGGGGAGGTGGAAGAGGAGGGGGAGGTCTTTTGAGGCGCCTCGAAAGTCGTCTCAGTTCACGCGGTTTTTTTTGGGGCGCCTCAAAAGTCCTCACGTGCTGTGCGGGATGTTGGAGAGGTGGAAGAGGTGGGGGAGGTGGGGGTCATGAGATGGTCATCGTATCAACACTAAGGGCCGTCTGTGAGACGGACGAGGTCTACTAAAGCCACCTTCCCAGCAACCAACCCTCCACACAGCCACACAAACCCACAGGACACCACTCTGTCAAATGCCCCCTCTGCTTGAAACGAGCTCATGTCTGCAGTGATGACGCGCATTCGGTTCACACTCTGTCACTCACTCCTGCCAACCAACCCTCCACACAGCCACACTACCCCAACGCACGCACCTCGGACATCTCAACAGACACCATCCTGTCAAACGTCCCCTCTGCTTGAATATTTCTTCCAGTGTACCGAACGTTGTACGTCTCTCTAGTGCTCCAAACGCCAACTGCCACTACGGTGTTACCCGTCTTACTCACCTCAAACATCTCAACAGACACCACTCTATCGAAGGTGCCCTCTGCCTGAAAAGTGTTCATGTCTGCTGTGATGATTCGCACGTTATTGATGCCCCGCTTCCTGGCATAGAAAAGCGAGTGGAAGTAGAAAAGAGACTTATGAAGCCGTCAAAGATAATGCACTGCACATGTGCTTACGCCCCACTGCCATTACAGGAGAGGGGGTGCAAACCAGGAAGACTATTGAGAGGATTTACGGGAGTTGTTAGAAGCACCTATACAATG